AACGCATCTGCGATTCCCCTGGTATTGCAGTTGTTCATGGGCGGCGGTAGTCACTTACCATCAGGTGAGCCGCATGCTCGTTTGCCCCCTCTCCTATAAAAAAAAAATGCGAGTCGGACTCGCGCATGAAAGGTTCCATCGTAAAGCTTGTTTCTAGTGGAGGAGCCCCCTTTAGTTTTTTTTTTTTAATTTATTTTTCTTTCTATATTTAATTCACGAATATTTGTTGTTATAGCAGCAACAGAAAAACAAAACATTCTGTGAAAATTTCAACTCTCTAACTATTACGGATCATGAGATACAGCCCGCTGACAGGGTCCCGTTGGTTACCCTTTGGGTATGGAACCCTAAAAATCAGTTAAATCCGTCGAAAATGAAATCTCGTTTAGTCATGTCGAATGATTGTGTGAGCGGATCATATCAGTAATTAATGCTAAACTGCACGCAAATATTGTATTACATAATTTGAACAAATAATACTCGATTCGAGAGTAATTTGTTATCCCTTTGTAGAAAATAAAGCATAGCTTAGAATTTGTTTTGCTTTTATTTTACTGAAAATGTTTGCAGCCTCATCACGTAAATATATGCCGGTCTTACCTCAAGTATGAGAAAATTATTTATTTAAATGAATTGCAACGGTATGACTCTAAAGCCCATATTTCAGGGCCATTCGTTACTTTATTGAAAGAAAATGTTTTCATCTGTAAGATCTATTAACTTTAGTGCAAAATGACTACTAGACGGACTTACCACAAACAGTAAGGAAAGTCCGTCTACACGGCGATTTTTTTTTTTAAAAATACCTTTATTTAAGCGTTATTTGACTAATCAAAGTACATCACTCACCTTCGATTTGCCGACGATGTAGTACTTATGGCAGAATCGCTGGAGGACCTAAGCACTATGCTCAATGACCTCAGTAGTGTCTCCCAACGGATAGGTCTTAAGATGAACATGGACAAAACAAAGATCATGTTTAATGTCCATGTCACACCTATGCCGGTAGTTGTTGGGAGCACTAAGCTCGAAGTTGTTGACGAGTTTACCTGGGACAAATAGTCCGACTAGGTCAGTCCAACTTCCCGTGTTGAGTTGCCAGAGCTCCCATCGGGCGCGTCCCCAGGTGGCGAATAGGGGAACGCCACTCAGATATGGGTGGTAGCGGGAAACCGTCGCGGACCAAAACTGGCTGGGTGAGGGCTTGTTTGCATAGCGGAGGGCCTATTAGTTGCTTCCTGTATCCTCTCCCTTGAAAGGAACAGAGAATGTGACATGCGCGGTGAGGTGCCAGGTGCACTCGGCTTTTGCCGACGCCGGGCAACCCGTAATCGCGGGATTTTCAGGGACCACACCCTGTAAAAAAGGAAACTGAATGGGCTCAGTGTTCCCTAACCCGGTCTCTGGGCAGGCATGGGAAGAACTCGTATCGACTCTGCCACCATTCGAACCTCGGAATCCCTATGGCGTGTCGTGGATCACGTCTCGCGGCGCCTAAGGGGCCGAGGGCTCTTGGCTTAACCGCCGTATGATAACCTCTTTAAAAAATCACCCGAAGCTCAAGCGTGGCACGCCGTGAGGAGCTGCATGGCTGATGGGTAAATGTTCAGTCGTTAGCGTTGCCCCCGTCGGGGTACCGGCCGACACCCTTGACGGGTTACGCATAGGCTTATCCGGGCAAAGGGGGCTCTGCTCGGATGGACTGTTATTTCCTCCACACTCGTGGGATAAAAAATGGACAAAGAAAAATATTTAAAAAAAACAGTAGAGGTAGAAAAGGCAGGATCAGATACTGGTAGCGGCGGAAATCGATCGCGTGGGACGTCTTCCGCTAGGAAACGTCCAGTGTGCCGATCGTCAGACGAGGAAGGCCTGCCGGCCCCCAAGTTGCCGACTTCGGGGAGGGGTCGGCAGGCATCGAGAGGGGCGAGTACTTCGCAGCCGCGGAGGGATAAGCACGGACGGTTCGTGTGCTCCAATACCTCGGCGGCTAGCGAAGCAGATAGTGACATGGGGTTCACTACGGAGGACCCTGGCGATGGCGGTGAAAGCTGTGCCTCGCTGGGGAGCTCAAAGGCGGAGCTCAATGCCGCCAAGAGGGAGCAGCGCAAAGCCGTCGCGGCCGACGAAGTGTCGGAAATGGCCCGACGTGCTCGCGAGCGACGAGCTGCTCTTGCGGCGAAAGGGGGAGAGCCATCTGCGGTGGCCTTAAGCCAGCTGGCTCTGGATGGGGTGGACTTAGTCCTGAAGGTTGCCACCAAGTCCGGCAGCCTGAAGGGCACGTTAACCCGTGGCTTAAAGGAGGCTGCCGCGGATATCAGGGAGGCGGTTGGCATCCTCCTCAACAGGACGGCCTCTGACGAGGTCGCAAAGTTACAGGAGGAAAACAGCCGCCTCAGAAATGACTTGGAGGACCTCCGGCGGCAAGTTGCTGCGCTAAGCGAGCAGCAGCAGCAACGCACGTCCAGCGATGCCGCACCTGTAGTGGACCCGACTCCCGCACTGCGACCGGCAAGCCCTCGTACCGACGAAGAGGTCAAGCGCATTGTCCGGCTCTGCATGCTCCAGTGCGGGAGCATGGTTAACGCTCGGCTGGAGGCAATTTCTCGGCGTCTCCCGGTGGAAATCCTCCGTCCGCCTTTAGCGGCTGACACGCGGAGGACTGAGGAGCCGCCGAGACTTGCGCCTCAAAAGGGGAAGCCCGCGGAGGGTAACAAAAAGCCCGCGGAGGGAGCTCCTCCGAGCAACCAGCCCACGACTGCCGGGTCTAAGGGTGAGACCTGGGCGAAAGTCGTGGGCCGCAAGAAGGCCCGCAAAGCCGCCAAGAAGGCCGCAGCAGCCGCATGTTCCCCAGGTGGAACCGCAAAGACGGCTCCTAAACCTGCACAGCGGACTGCCAAAGGCGGTCGCAAGAGACCGGCTGTACATGTTCCGCGGTCCAACGCTGTGACAATAACGTTGCAGCCTGGAGCTGTGGAGCGTGGCGTGACGTACCAGTCGGTCATCGCCGAGGCCAAGGCCAAGATCAAATTATCTGATCTTGGCCTTCAGTCCGTCACCCTCAGGCAGGCTGCCACGGGTGTACGACTGTTCGAGGTGGCTGGCACTGTGAGCGGCAGTGCCGAAAAGGCGGACGCACTGGCCGCCAAGATGAGGGAGGTCCTCAACCCAGAGGACGTCCGGGTCTCCAGGCCAATGAAAACCGCAGAGGTGCGGATTGCTGGCCTGGACGACTCCGTGACCTCAGAGGAGGTGGTGGCGGCCGTTGCCAGAAGCGGAGAGTGTCCGCCGGACAAGGTGCGGGCTGGCGATATACGCACCGACGCCAGCGGACTCGGCGCGGTCTGGGTTCGGTGCCCTGTAGCGTCGGCAAAGAAGATCGCCGATAGCGGCAGATTGCTGGTAGGCTGGGTGGCGGCAAGGACCAAGCTCTTACAGCCCCGGGCTTTGCAGTGCTTTCGGTGCCTGGAAAAAGGGCACGTCCGGGCGAAGTGCACCGCCGAGGTTGACCGTAGTGACCTCTGTTATCGCTGCGGCCAGCCTGGCCACAAGGCTGCCCTGTGCTCCGCGGCGCTCAACTGCAGCCTTTGTTCTGCTGCGGGAAGGCCAGCGGAGCACAGAGTAGGCGGAAGGGCTTGTGGGGCGCCTGCCAGCAAGAAAAAGAAAAAGGAAAAGAAGAGGAGCACTAAGCCTGCCGGGTTAACCTCGCTGCCCTCGCAGGCTAGCAGCTCCGCGGCCGACTCCCGGCCCAGGACCGTTGCCGAGGGGATGGAATGTCAATAATGGCACAATTCCATTCTCTCCATTTTCTCCAGGGCAACATCAACCACTGTGCCAGAGCTCAGGATCTCCTACTCCAGAGCATGGCAGAGTGGTCGATTCACGTGGCTGTGGTCGCCGAACCGTACTTCATTCCCGCCCGTGACAACTGGTTGGGATGCGCTGACGGTTTGGTGGCCATTATTGGCGAGACTCTGATCGACCCGTCTCGGGGCCGTGGCTGGGTTGCTGCGGTCTCGGGCGGCATCGTTATTGTAGGGGCGTATTTCTCCCCCAACAAGAGTCTCGCCGACTTTGAGGGTTTCCTTGTCGAGTTGGGCGCCGTCGTAGGCCGCTATCACCCTCGTCCCGTTCTGGTGCTCGGGGATCTCAACGCCAAGTCATCGGCGTGGGGATCTCCGGTCACTGACCCTCGGGGCGAGGTGTTAGAAGAGTGGACGGTGACGACTGGTCTGGTCGTCCTGAATCGGGGTTCGGAATACACGTGCGTGCGGCAGCGGGGTGGGTCGATAGTGGACGTCTCGTTTGCTAACCCCTCTGTCGCCAGCCGAGTCCGCGACTGGCGTGTCGCCGCAGAGGTGGAGACGCTGTCGGACCATCGGTATATCCGGTTCGACGTCGCTGCCCAGACTGCGAGCGGCCGCCATCCAACAACCCCGATTAACGACGGCCCGCGTTGGGCGCTTAAGCGCATCGACAGGGAACTACTCGAAGAAGCTGCCCTAGTCCAGTCCTGGATTCGGGAGTCGACGACGGACGGCCCCGTCGACGTCGAAGCGGTGGCGCTATGGTTTCGCGGGGCGATGACGCAGATCTGCGACGCGTCCATGCCCCGTGTCCACCAACGGTCCGCAAGGCGCCAGGTGTACTGGTGGACCGCCGAGATCGCGCAATTGCGCATAGCGTGCGTTGCGGCTCGTCGCCGGTACACCCGATACCGGAGGCGGCGTCGACGGGATCCCTCCGAGGAGGACGCGCTGTATGAGGTGTACCGCGCGTCTAAGGAGACTCTGTGGCTGGCCATCGGCGACTCAAAGTCGCGTGCCAGGGAAGAGCTGCTGGGATCCCTAGATCGGGATCCGTGGGGGCGCCCCTACCGTTGGGTACGGGGCAAGTTGCGTCCCTGGGCGCCTCCACTAACACAAACGATGCAACCCCAGTTGCTAGAGGCGGTGGTATCGGCTCTCTTCCCTGAGCGAGTGGGACACGTTCCCCCGGCGATGGCTTCGCCCTCAGCCACAGACTCTCCAGAAGAGGAGAGCACCGATGTCCCCGAGGTGACGCAAACAGAGACGAGAGCGGCCGTGTCGCGACTCCGGGCTAAGAACACAGCGCCCGGACCCGACGGAGTTCCTGGTCGAGCTCTCGTCCTGGCTCTGAAGGAGCTAGAGCCCCAGCTGAGGGGGCTCTTCACGGCATGTCTCGAGCAGGGTCAGTTTCCCAGAGTGTGAAAGGAGGGGAGGCTGGTCCTGCTCAGGAAGGAGGGGCGCCCCGCGGACTCACCGTCCGCGTACCGGCCCATAGTGCTGCTCGACGAGGCGGGCAAACTTCTTGAGCGTATCATCGCAGATCGCCTCGTCAGCCACTTGTGCAGAGAGGGGCCGGACCTGGACGAGAACCAGTTTGGTTTTCGTCGCGGGCGCTCCACCATAGACGCTATTACGCGCGTGAGGGCCCTGGCGGAGGAGACAGTATCCCGGGGTGGGGTGGTTCTGGCGGTGTCCTTAGACATCTCCAACGCCTTCAACACCCTACCCTGGAGTTGTATTCGGGAGGCGCTGAATTACCATCGCGTACCTCCCTACCTCCGCCGCACAATAGGGGCTTACCTTGAGGAGAGATGCGTTACCTATCGGGGACGTGACGGCGCTGGTCGGCGCGTCATGTCGTGCGGTGTTCCGCAGGGATCGGTCTTGGGACCGCTCCTGTGGAACATCGGCTACGACTGGGTGCTGAGAGGTGAACTCCCGTCGGGCGCCGACTTGACGTGTTATGCGGACGACACGCTCGTCACTGCCCGGGGGAGTTCACACAGGGAAGCAACGTTGGTTGCCACGGCTGCGGTGTCACAAGTGGTGAACCGCATCCGGCGCCTGGGCCTAGAGGTGGCCCTAAATAAGTCGGAGGCCATGGTGTTCCATGGCCCTCGACGCGCGCCGCCGCCGGGTTCACACATCGTGGTCAGCGGGGCCCGGATAGCTGTCGAGTCCACCATGAAGTATCTGGGATTGATGCTCGACAGCCGATGGGAATTCGGACCCCACTTCCGGCGGCTGGCGCCCAAGCTGATGGGTGCAGCGGGCGCGCTATCAACGTTGCTTCCCAACTTGGGGGGCCCGAGCGCCGCCTGTAGGCGGTTGTACGTGGGAATCGTGCGGTCCATGGCCCTGTATGGGGCCCCTGTGTGGGCGATGGACATGACGGCCAGCACTCTCGCCATTCTGCGTAAACTGCAGAGGGCGATGGCCGTCAGAGTCGCCCGCGGGTATCGCACGATTTCCTACGAGGCGGCTTGCGTCCTGGCCGGATCCCCGCCCTGGGACCTAGAGGCGAAAGTACTCGCGTCATTATATCGATGGCGCGAGGAGGAGCGGGCACGGGGCTCGAGGCCGGTGCAGCGGCAGATCGCGCTGCGCCGAGAGGAGCTCCGTCAGGTCTTGGTGGCGGAATGGCGGCAAAGGCTTCTGCGCCCTACCGCAGGCCTCGCTACCGTCGAGGCGATCCGGCCAGTACTCGACGACTGGCTCGGGAGAAGGCACGGCTCCCTGTCGTTTAGGGTGACGCAGGTGCTGTCGGGGCATGGCTGCTTCGGCAAGTACCTGCGCCGCATAGACAGGGAGCCGGACGCTCGGTGCCACCACTGCGTCCATTGCGGGGAGGACACGGCGCAACACACGCTCGCCGAGTGTGTAGCTTGGGAGGAGCAGCGCCGTGTCCTCACAAATAAAGTAGGAGGCGATCTGTCGCTGCCGGCCTTAGTGCAGAAGATGGTCGGTAGCGCAGAGTCGTGGGATGCAGTGGTGTCCTTCTGCGAGGACGTGATGTCGCAGAAGGAAACTGCGGAACGGGAAAGGGAGATCTCGACTCCCTTCCCTGGCCGCAGAAGGCGCACCGGGCGCAGGAGAACGGCGGACAACGCCCTTTTCCGGCCCCCATAAATAGGTCCAGGGGCGAGGGACTTGGGGAAGCCCCCGCCACCCCTACTCGATGGACCCGAGGCGGAGGCGCGCGCGGGTGTCGGCGCGCCCCGAGGCGATACACGGGGTAGTTTAACACCTCACTACCCCGTGCAGGAGACGAGGCCTGGACGGACCGGGCCAGCACTAGTGTGAGGCTGCGGAAGAATTTGGATTCCCGCGGCCCCACGCGCACGTGTGAGGAGACACCGGGGTGGTTTTAGCCGGTAAGAGTCCGGCACGCCCCTCCGGCTTTCCCCAGGCGGAGGTAGTCCATGAGGATATCCCCCCGTAAAAAAAAAAAAAAAAAAAGGTCAGTCCAACTTCAACCGAGAGATCAATCGACGGATTCAACTCGGTTGGGAGGCGTTCTTTAAATTACGGTACATCTTCTCGTCAGGTATACCTCAAAACTTGAAAACGAGACTATACCACCAGTGCGTGTTGCCAGTTATGACCTATGGAACTGAGACGTGATCCTTCACTGCTGGCCGGATGAGGAAGGTCAAGGTTGTTCAGCGAACTATGAAAACAAAAACTTGTATGACAAACTTGGCAGATTTTAATCTATACAAATAAATAAAATTGAATTATTATTATTATTATTATTATTATTATTATTATTATAATAAAATTGAAGTGTCTGTTTGTAATGTCAAAATATCAGCTTTTTATTAAATGAATATGAAGGTATATACGGTACTTATAACAAGATAACAATTTTTAAAATTTTTGTCCGTCTGTATGTCTGTCTGTCTGTCTGTTTGTTCCTGCTAATCTCCGAAGCGGCTGGACCGATTTCGACGGGACTTTCACTGGCAGATATCTGCAATCGTATATAGGACGACACCGTCCTTCCAAACCGTTGGTAGAAGTACAAAGCACGTTTTCAAATTCAACCACTTCAGACAGCTCCAAAAACCTTGATTTTTTTTTTGTATCATTGAAAGTAAATTGATTAGTTCGTCTATAACTAGATCTCAATTTCGGAAACTTTTTTCGTACCATTATTTTGTTTGGTTCTTGATTATTTGTCAGAAATGTTTTGTTAAATTTTTTCAAATCACTGGCATTGAATCTATAAATATAAAAATGAATCGCAGAATGTGTTGCTAAGCTCAAATCTCGAGAGCAGCTGAACCGATTTCGCTAATTCTTTTTTTATAATATTCCTTGAAGTACGAAGATGCTTCTTAAGGAGAGAAAAATTTAAAAATTGCCTGAAAAAGTATAAAAACAACACTTTTCTATATTCCCATACAAAAAATTCGTAATAATACTTAAATTCAATTTGAACTTTAATAATAATAATAAATCCTTTATTTCGACCAATAATAGTCATAGATTGTTAGTAAAACTTACTTAGCCTAATGTTTGTTAGTATAAAATAAAATAGAAGTTAATATTAAAATGTTAGTCGCAATAGTACTTATCCTATATTAGTAGCTTAACCTACCCCCAGCCTCACATAGCGAACTCCAGGTGGGATTCTCCTCGTGCTGGTGTGTGCACCATTCCAAGCCCTCCAGAGCGGGCAATCCAGCTTCACAGCCAATGCGCTGAGAAGGGTGTTGGAGCTCCTCAATAGCCTGCTCATCATGGAGGCGGCACGCTTGCGCATGATCGTGTATAAGTCGTCCACACGAGCATCCGCAAACATGGCCGACGCACTGCAGTGTGGAGACTTCCTCAACATCACCCTCAGCACATTGTTGTACTGAACACGCAGAGCACTGTAGGCCCGCCGCTAGTCAGTCCACAGACTGCACGATTAAAAGGATTAGCAATACGCCTTGAACAAAGTTAACTTGACTTGAGTCGTACTACGTGCAAATCTGCGAGCCAACATATTGCCCCGGACCGACAGGGCTCGGCGCTCTCGTTCAATGTCACTGTCATCATCCAGGCGTTCAGTTACAATATGTCCGAGGTACCTAAACTCAGCCACTTGTCTCAGAGGAATCCCACATTGCTGGATACGTGCCGTGAAATCAAGTGGTTTGTTCTTACCTATAAAGACAATAAATTCACTCTTTTTTGAGTTGTAACTGAGTCCAGTCTCCTCGGCATATGCTTCACAAATTTTCAACAGCTTTCGAAGCCCGCTGACTGAGGGGCTCAACAGAACCATGTCGTCTGCGTAATTAAAATTATTCATGGATACACCGTCTATTGAGCAACCGACACCTGCTCTGCTGAGGCTCTCAATCAGTCTGTTAACATAAAGATTAAACAGCCTGGGTGACGTCAGCCCTCCCTGCCTCACTCCGTACCCTAGTTTGTAGGGATTACTTTAGGCGTTACCCCATCTAACTGTGTTAGTCTGGTCACCGTACCAATATTCCAACAGTGAAACCAACTCTGGTCTCAAGATACTTTCCCGTTTTAATTTTTGCCATAAAATTTTATAAGACACTCGGTCGAAGGCTTTACGGCGGCTTTTCAACGTTGGCCAACACACTGGCGAATGTGTTGGCCAACAACGATGGCCATCGTGTAGAGCGGGTGTTTAAGTTACGTTGGTATGTATTGGAACGATGGCCCACAAGTTGGCGCGAGATCCGTGTGGTGTCGGTTTTTTGCAAAAGATCAAAGGGTTGTGGCAGAGTATTGGCCGTCGCGTCCACACGTTGGGCGTACGTTCAGTTTGCTACGAGCTCCCAGAGTGATTGCACGCACCTGATTTAAATTTTATATGCACGCATCGTAACTAGTGTCTACATAACGGCAGTAACAATGACCAATGAGAATTATAGAGCCCTACCAAACCGAAAATTGTTTGTAAAACACAAGTCTTTTTAAAAAAAAATGTTATTATACACTAGGATTTTCTCCTGTATCGTGGAGGCAGTTTAGAAACATAAATTGCATAAGGACAAACATCCAGAGCCGGAGAAATTATGTGCAGGCTATACAAATACTTGTTCCGTACGGGATTCGAACCCGCGGCCCCCAGGGCAGCAACTCATTGCTAAGCCACTACGCCACGGAGCCGTCAAGAAATAAAATTTCTTTTTTCCATTTTTTCTTTGATCACCCTTATCTTATACACATTCACGTTGTAGTGATTAATTGTGTATTAATTTATTTATTGATGTATTAATTGATTTATTAAATATCTTAAAATCTATAAATAAATTTTATTTCGTTTTTAAAAAGTAAATGCCTTAAAAACTAGTAGATTGGAACCTCCATTTAAGCAAATAATGCCTGTGTTTGGAGGATCCGCCCTTCCATTACTATATCCATGTTATAAGGCAGTATGAATAAACATATTCTATATCCATATTAATGTTATATATTACTTAAATTCTATATTAATTCTATTCTTAGTTTATTTACTTATGTATACGTGTGTGTGTGTGTGTGTGTGTGTGTGTGTGTGTGTGTTTGTGTGTGTGTTTGTGTGTGTTTGTGTGTGTGTGTGTGCGCGAGCGCGTGCGCGTGCGCGTGGGCGTGTGCGTGTGCGTGTGCGTGTGCGTGTGCGTGTGCGTGCGCGTGCGCGTGTGCGTGTGCGTGTGTGTGCGTGCGCGCGCGCGCGTTTGTGTGTGTGTGTGTGTGTGAGTGTGTGTGTCGCTCTCTCTCTCTCTCTCTCTCTCTCTCTGTGTGTGTGTGTGTGTGTGTGTGTTATTATTTTGTCTGAACTACCTTATCGATCCTAGGACAGTTACAGGTGTTTTTATTAGTATCCGTTGTACATTCATGAATTTTTAAACTGAAGCCGGCCTGAGGTTGCGAGTTGTTGTTAGTACTAAAACATATATAGTTGGTTTTAAAAGTATTTAGGGTCAGGAGGTTGTGTTTCAGCCACTGAGCGATTCGCAACAGACCAGCCTCAGCACTAGTTTTGACCACCTCCCAAGAATCACCGGCAAATACTACAGACGTATCATCAG